AGGGTTGATATGTTGTGGGGTTGTTAACCAATGTCATAAAACAATATGTGTACTACTGTTTCATGAGAAACTATTTGTTCTGTAAGCCTTCACCAGAAGTACAATAAAAGAAAAAAAAATAGACTTTGGTATTGCATAGTCCTGGGTCTGAGATTGGCTTACCTACTTGCTTACAAATTTAGCTTTTGGGCAAGTTTCTGAGTTTTGCTTTCCTCAGCTTTTGAATAGAGAAAAAATAGGACATTCATCACAGAGCTAATATGAGAATGCAGTGAGAAAATGCATGCAAAGCACTCAGCACAATGCCTAACATACGGTTGGTAAACAGTAGATATTACTATTATACTTTTTGTTTCTCCATAGCACTTTTTCTTGTGTTTTTCTCTTCTTCCAGAGAGACAGTGTTTGAAATCAGACAGGTTTAGGTTCAAATCTCAGGTCCTCCACCTGCTAGATGCAAAACAGAACTAACACAATACCTATTTCATATCATTGTCCCTGGGAATAAATGAGGTCAAGTTTTTAGGGAGCCGAATGCAGGAACTAATATTTAATAACAGATCTTTTGACATGGGCATCAATCCTTATCTTTCATTTGGTCACCTATGGTCAGGAAAGTAGGATCTATAGGCAGAAAGAACCTGCTGGGGTCCTTCCCTCAGAAGGGAGTGGTAGGTAAGGCGGACACCAAGATGCCCTGGCCGAATACCAAGACCTTGGGAGATGCAGAGGAAGCCCATGGAAAGCAAGCCCAAGCTCCATAGGTCTCATGAGGGAAACTAGTTGAGTTGTCAAACCCGATAGGAGGAGCTGACGAAGCCAGCTCAGAGTGGCCTTCTCAGATATGTTTTGATGTGGGGTTTTTATGGCAGAGCTAAGGCAATAACTCTAAATATTAGGGAGGAGATTTGAGAAACACCCATTCAGCTGCAAGAAGGAGATGAAATAAAGGCTACCCCCAAAGCTTCTTCCATCTCAAGATGACAAATTGCTCTGTGACTTTGGTACCCTGGTGGGCCCAGGAGGTGGGAGTCAGCAACTCTGAGGACTGAAATCAGAAAAGCACTGAATGTTTGGATGGAGTGCTAGGTCCCAAAAAGAATGCCTCTTTGTCTAAATGCCATCTCTGCCAAAGCAAAACAAATTTATCAGCATCTCCTTGAAACTGCAGGGGAGAGTCTAAAAAGTTTAAGCAATAAAAAGGGTAAGTGGAAATTGATTGAACAATATCATTACTAATTCATGAAGTATAAAATGGTATTGCTAGTCTATTTGGTGAGCTAATTTTATTATTTTATTTTAATAAATAAAAAATATGTATAAAATAAATATTAAAAAAATGTATAAGTCTCCATAACAGGATTTTTCCAACTACTTTTATGAGAATAAATGTCTCATGCCTTTCAACTGTACATTCTCATAATGGTTTTTAGGACTTAGCTCTCATGGTGGAGGGTGGGGTGGAGCATCAGCATGATGAATGGTGGGATTCAGGAGCCGACAGTGAGGGGAATTTCAAGAATATTGAAGTCATCCCCTAATATTCCCTTATCTTCTCTCTAAAGCTTGGTCAGCCTTAACTGCATTTTGTCTTTAAGAAAATACAGATCATTTCTATGTGTTGCCTTTTTCTCCTCTACCCCATAGATGGATGGAAAAACCGATGGGTGGAATCTAAACATAGTCCGGATTATGGTAAATTTCAGCTCACAGCAGGAAAATTTTATGCAGACAAAGAAAAAGCTAAAGGTAAATATTGGAATTCAGGAACATACTAACTGACTGGAGAAATTCTGACTTTTATACAATCGTTTTTATCAATGATCACCAATTCAGTTCTTTTTCTTTAAACACAGAAGTAGTAGATGGAGAAGAATGAACTCCCAGCAAAACGGTAATGACCGTTTGTTGAACAACGGGCCTTTAAAGCTAAACCTTACTACCTACGTTATTCCCAGTGATGCCCCTAACAACCTCATGAGGTGGTTACTATTATTTTCCCAGTTTTGCAGAGTGGCCTCAGAGAGGTTAGACTATTTGTCCAAGGCTACATATACAGCTGGCAAGAGGCAGGACTGAAATTTGATTCTGGGTCTGACTCCAGGGACTGTGTTCATTACCACTGACAGTACTGCTTTCCCCAACCCTGTTGTTGTTGCTGGGTGCCGTTGAGTCGATTCTGACTCATGCAACCCTATATGATGGAGTAGAACTGCCCCATAGGGTTTCCTAGGCTGTAATCCTAGGATTTTTCAAATAGCTCTCTGCACTTGAAACAGGGGAAAGTACTGTACAACCTCCGAATGTTGCTCTTTCCTAAAGCGTCTTGGTACGGTGGAGAGTGGAGCAGGTAAACCTAAAGGTAACTAACTCCCAGCTCTACGATTCACTGGCTACATAATTTGGACAAGTCTTTTTGCTTCGCTGAGCCTTGATATTAGACAGAAATAATAATCATCTCCTGCAGTGCTCATTAGAGCTGTTGTGAGAGTCAAATAATATTGTGGAAGAAGGACTATCTCTGAAGACAAGGTCTGCAGGCATGAGTTTTTGTCTGAGGAAGTTTTATCCTATAAATAGAATCCATTGATCGTCCCCTGGAGTGATTCCCATCTTCTCCCTCCTGACTACTGTTATGAATCTAATTTTCATGTTTATTAGAGGAGAGAATGAGAACTGGTTTGAGCATTTTAGATCTCATAGGAGAGAGAATCGGAGACTGAGTCACCAGTGGGCCGCCTATGCTTTGGTGGCTCTGTGGGCAGTCTGCACAGGCACCATGATCTCTGTTTGATTCCTTGGTTGTTGACCCTCCCAAGTAATTCCACTCAGGTTCCTGTTGTCTAGAAGAACCCTTGATCTTCTAGAAGGACCCTGTTGTCTAGAAGGGCTCTTAAATAAACACGAGGTTGGGGGGTGGTGGATTACATTGGGCTACATAGCAAGTTTTTGGTGGAGCCAAGACTCAGAGTTGGGTCTTTTGCCTATGGGCTCAGTGTTCTTTCCCTTGTGTCTGCTCTCCCCCCCATGAATTTTCCCCTGGCTACTCAAGCCCCACTTTAGATCTTGGAGGAAACAAACATATTCTTTAAAGTACAGACAGTTCTCAGTGCAATATCTTCTTCCTCCTGGCTACTGTTATGAATCTCATGAAAATGTTTAGCACAGAGCCTGGTGTGCAAAAGATGCAAGAGACATTGTCTGAATCAGGATCCATGGCCTGTCAGCCTTCTTGTAACTTAACACGTATTTATTGATCATCTCCTCTATGTCAGGCGTTGCTCTAGATGCCAGGAGTATAAGATGTCTCTGCTCTTCAGGAACTTAAAAATTATTCAAAGAGTCTGAAATAATCCTAGTTGCACCATAGTGTGACCCAGGGAAGTACAGAGAACTGTGGGATCCTAAAGGAAGGATGTTCACCCAGCTAGGGGATTGAAAGGAGGGGCCCTGTACACAGATCTAAAACGTGAATAATGATAACCCCTTTGCATTTTATGTTCACAGTTTACAAAGTGCTTCTCACATCTCTTACCCATTTGACCTTCATGGGTACCCTTTGAGGTAGTAATAATTATCCACATTTTGCTGATGAGGAAACTGAGGCTCAGAAAGTTAAAGTGACTGGGTTAGAGTTATAACCAGCAATCTGGGCAGCAGCATGGAATAATGGAATGACCAGGCGTGGATGTTAGGAGACCAGGCTTGTCTCTTAGTGCTGTCATTTGTGGCTGTATGATCTTGGATAAGTAATTTTCCTTCTCTGGGGCTTAGTTTCCTCATCTTTAAAGTAACGTGGTTATTAGAAAGGCTCTGAGCTCCTTTATAGCCCTGATACCCTATGGGGGAGGAGGTAAAGTTTAGTGGTTGAGTGTGGGAGGAGCTCTGGAATTAGATGGACTTACTGGTTATTTGATCCTGGACAAGTGAAACAGCCTCAGTGATTTCTTGGTAATGTGAAGATATTAGAGAGTCCACCTCATGCGGTTATTATGAGGATTCAGAGAATACGTGTAAACGAAGCACATTGCTTGGTAAAGGGTAAGTGTTCAGTACATGTTAGCAATGATTATTATTTGTTCTAAGAGGCAGAGCCAGGCCCCACCAGAGCATTTGTGTACAGCAGAGCCTAATTCTGGTCACCCAGAGGGCCTCAGAAGAAAAGGACCTTGTTATTGTAAAGCTGCAGAACAGTATTCAAGAATCTCTTGAAAATCAGAGGCAACATGGTAAAGGGGAAAGAAAGAACCAGACAAATGATGCTTAAAAATCTCAGCTTGATTTCTTACTAGCTGTGTGGCTCTAAGCAAGGTCACTTCACCTCCCCATGACTCAGACACCTAATATGGCAAGGGCGGATAATATCTATTTTGTAGGGTTGTTCTAAGGCTTGAATGAGAGAAGTGTGTAAACATCCAGCACAGCACCTGGCACACATTAGGTGTGCAAGAAAGTACTAGAGATTGTTTAGGCCAAATGCTGGGTCTCTCTGGCTGCTTTTTGGGTATTTAAGCCTTAAGACTGGGTGCTCTTTGCCCCTAGGTCTCCAGACCAGCGAAGATGCCAAGTTGTACGCCCTCTCAACCAGATTTAAGCCATTCAGCAATGAAAATGAAAGCGTGGTGGTTCAGTTTTCAGTAAAACATGAGCAAGGCATCAATTGTGGTGGTGGATATGTGAAACTCTTCCCTGACACTCTGAACCAAGAGGATATGCATTCAGAGTCTGAGTATTATATCATGTTTGGTAAGTTTTTTGATAGAAGCCTCTGTGTGCCCAATGAGGTCTTAATGAGAGAGTTGCTGTCATTGAAGAAAAGGCTCAGATTGACTTGGAATAGAAATTTCCTAATGTGATAGATCTCCCCTGCTTCTCCCGCCACACACACACACACACAGAGTAAGACTCTTCAAAGACATGAAAGAAACATTTCTAAACCTAAAGGCTAATATAAATAGACCGAGGAGGTGGTGTGCCATAGTATCAATATGGCTACAGTACCGGGGACGGTTCTCAGAAAAGAGGAGGTCATAAACTGTGCAGACACTCTCAAAGGCATCTATTACCGTAAGGCAGTGTGCTCCAAAGGAGGTTCCTATCTTCAACAGGAGAAAGGCATAGGAGGTCAGGGAAATCACCTTTATCAAGTACCTGTAATGTGTCCAGAGTTTTGCACCTGTAACCTAAATATATAACCAGGACTCTTTGGAGCAGCTTAGCTTTTTCTTAGTGCCAACCCTGAATCCACTTTCAATGTTGTTATATTAAAAAACAAATAAGTGGGATCCAATTGACAACAGCAACTCAAAAGATTAGATAGGAACCTTACAGGGTTTATCTTAACAGGGGAGGAACAATTCAGAAAAGGAGGGTGAGAATGGTTGCACAACTCTAAGAACATAATCAATGTCAGTGAATTGTCCATGTAGAAACTTGAATTGGTGTATGCTTTTGCCATGTATATTCTCAACAACAGCAATAAAAAGATAAAATAAATTATTAAAAAAAAACAATAAACAACAACAAATCTAACTGCCAAAGCACTGATGAAAAATATAGATTTTACTGAATGTTTCTTTTACAAATTCAGGGGAAAGACTTACACACCACACAGTAAAACTTCTCTCTAAACATAGAAATTCTCTCTGAACACTTCTCTCTTTCCCCCAGGGAGTTGAGATGGCTTCAAGCCCTTGCCACAACCTTCCTCTTCGGCCTTTCTCCCCTTTTTCTGTCTTCATCCTCTCCCCACCCGCAACTCAAATCTTCTCTTTCAATTTCTTTCTTATGTAGAACAACACTCTGCGTGTCTAAAATTTGTTCTCTGTTCATCTATTTTCTTCAGAATTCACCCTTCTCAAGAGGAGTTTATGTGTGTATGTGTATATGGTAGCAGTGGAAAGGAAATTGGAAATCATAAAAGACGTGTTTTTTTAAATTTTCATGTGAATATTATTTATTTGATATTCAAACACCTGAACAAGGCAGGTGTTATCATCTCTATTTTACAGATGAGAAAATGGAGGCAAGAAATTTGCTCAAGATGACTAAGTAAGAAGCCAGGATTTGAACCCAGTCTGTCAAGTTCTAAAGCCTGTACTCTTTCTAATCCACCCCAACGCCTTTAGCAAGGACACAGGCACATGATTGCCTTTTTTTAAGAGCAGAGTGAAAGACATAATTTTAAAAAGGTATTGATGAGGTACCATGAGATCACAGAAGATGGCATGACTCTGTCCAGCTGGAGATTTTTTGGGGGAGGTATTAATTGTTCTTTGAAGAATGAGTAAGATTTTAATAGACGGAAAAGAGGTACAGAAAGTATAATTAGGACAGAGAAAACTGTGTGCAAAAGCTCAAAGACATGAAATTCAGATGTAAGGAGAGAAATGGTGAGACCATTTCATGTGTGTGTCTGTTACATTTGTGTTTGCATGTGTGTAGGATGTCAGAGAGCAATAAAATGAGGAGTGAAGTTAAAAAACTAGGTTAAATCCTATTCCTGGAAGCCTGTGAAGTTCTGGCTAGGGAGTTAGACTTTTATTTCCAAAGCATTAATGTCATTGAAATTTGGGGAGGAATAGAAGGAAGAAATGATTTTGTCACATATATGTTTTATTTTAATGAATGTTTTGCTAAAAAGGCATTCCACACAGAGGGAGCTACAATAAAATAGAGGAAAGGACTTGTAGGATGCAGCTTCTACGTCTCTCATGAGTTTTCCATCATTCATAGCTATAAAAGTCTATTAGATTTAAAATATCCTCCAAAGGCAATGAGCTACTCTAGGAGCTGAAGGATAAAGGAAAAGCTGGTGACTGAGCTCTGTTCCTCAGGGATCAAGAAAGAGAACTCTAGCTAGAAGATGAGATAGAGGTCTAAGAGAGGACGAGAAAAAACATAAAATAATGGCCATAGACTATTTGTTATACTCTTTGAACTCTCAAAGGTCATATCAGACCCATTCTAGAGATGAGAAAGTCGAGACAGTGAGGATATGTGACATGCCCAAGAGAAGCAGGTCAATCCCTGGAGTTGGCGTGAGAAAATCTAGGGAATTTCCAAGCCTGGCAAGAGACAGAAAAATGCTACAATCTCCTATTACCCCCATTCTACCCCTCATTCCACAGGAGCTGGGCCATTTTTTTCAAGACCCAGAGGAATCATGTATGACTTAGAACTACCCAGGATATATAACAAGAGGGGAAGTGGGGAAGGCGTATACCTAGGAGACAGAGAAGCTTGGTGGAAAGAAAACACGCTTTGGAGTTAGATTTGCGTACCTGTTCTTACCCTGTTTTCCTACATCTATGACCTTGGGCAAGTTACTTAAGCCCTCTGAACCTTAGTTTCCTCACCTGGAAGATGGGAATAATGTTATGGTTCATCAGCATATACAATTACAAACAGGAGAAATCATAACAGGTCAATTTATGTAAAAATGAAATATATGAATAGTTAATATAGCAGAACTCACAGAATTGATGGAAAAGATAGAGACTCAGACTCGGAAACAAGATAATAGCTACTCTATCAGGGCAGTCGCTCCTACTGAAAGAACAAACTCAAAGTATGTCTTCCGTCTTTGCCTCATATCTCTCAAGGTGCAAAGTCCTGGGAGGGAGACTCCAACAGGCAGAGCTTAAATCATGTGCCTATCCTTTGGCTGTAATGGGATGGTGACGGGAAAGACCTGAGAGGAAGATCTTCCAGGCACCCTTTCAGTTTCTGTAGTTGGAGGGCAGATCAGCTTGAAGTACTATCCCACCAACACTACACATAATGGAGGAGAAGTAATTCCCCAAAAGGAGACCAGGGTAAATGGGCCAGAAAATGGCCATTGTCCACTATATATGCTTTATGGTTAGGTATGAGGATTCAATGAAACCCTAGGTAATGTACCTGGCACTAGGTGTGTGCTCAGGACCTGGGGGTTATTATCACTTTTATTAAGTGTTCCTAGGGCCTCTAGGTGGAACTCGGAGGGAATTTCCTCTAGAAACATTAAAAGGGAGACCCTTGTGGGGAGGCTGCACAGTACACTGAAGATTAAATAACCTGTAGATCAGCCTGGCATGAAGTAAAGCATAAAGAATTTGTTATAGTGGTCACTGATCTGTAATTCCTGACCTTCTCTGAGATGGCAACTGGAATATGTAGCACTATATATTTAAGATTAATGAGGCATCTGTGAGCTAGCCCGAGAACATAGCCACTATGTATAATATTGTTTCCTTGGAAAAATATTTTTAAAATTCTCAGCACGGAATGGCCGAAAAATCATATTGTTGTTGTTAGGTTGGCTTGGATTTGAATCCTCCCAGCAATGCTACTTATTAGCGGTTTGTCCTTAGGCAAGTTGCTTAACCTTTCTGAGCCACAATTTTGCCAGATAAAAGTGGGGCTAACAGCACCTACTTGTTGTGAGAATTAAATGAAGTGCCCAGCATGGGGCCTGGCACAGGCGGGGCTTCTTGTTGAGCTTGGTCAATGGGGAGCCTTGGCAGGAAATCAGAGGAAGAGAAGAGAGGAAGTTGGGGGTATTTATTCTCCCAGTTGTGTCTCTCGACTGAAAGCCACAGTTCCTCTCCTGGCTGCCCTTTCTACAGGGCTATTTTTCTCCCTGGCTCTGGTAACCATGGCTTCTCCTCACCCCTTCAGGCCTAGCATGGTAATAGCCCAACTGTTGCTAGCCCTGAGCACAGCTCTGTTCCTTATGTTTCTCAATGTCCTGCTCACACCTTTGTAAATAGTCCCTTTCTTAAATTCCCCTCAAATAATCCTAAATTTGAGCATGCCATCTACTTCCTGCTGGGACCCTGATTGATACACAGGCTGTGTCTGTCTCGGGTCTTGGCCTTGGACCAGGCAAACTGCCTAAAAGTGATGTCAAGTAATGCATTGGGACTTAATTTCCAGGCCCTGACATCTGTGGCTTTGGCAACAATAAGGTACAGGTCATCCTTCATTACCAAGGGAAATACCATGGGAACAATAAGACCATCGAATGTCGGGTAAGTGTGTAGGCTGGTCCTAAACCTAGGGGGAAGGATAAGCATTTTATATATGTTACCTCATTTAATCCTTACTAAAACCCTGTAAATGCTATCATCTTTATTTTACAGATTAGAAGATAGATCTGGAGAAATACTGTAAATTGCAGGAGTTCACATGAGTGTCTGATCCCAAAGCTTAGGGAGTCATATAAAGTCATCTTTTGGAACAATGCTTGGTTGGCGTGGCCCAGGCTCCACTGCTAGATTGAAAGAGAGGAGTGCTGGGCTTAGAAGTGAGCGGTGGGTTAATTTTAATCACTTCAGGCCAGAGAAGCTTAGGTTGGCTGTAGGATAATGGCTGGATTTCGTCAGCAACTCAACAGGCCCTCACTGAGTGCCAACTCTGTGTTGCTCTATGTTGTACCTTGGGCTGGGGACAGAGTGAGTCACGTATGGCCTCTGCCTCATAGAACTCACAGTCCAGTGAAGGTGGCAGTCAGGTACAGTAGTGATCACCTAGTGTGATCAGGGTCTGTGGGAGCAGAGAGGAGATACCCTACTCAATCTGGAGGGTTAGGATATGCTTCTTAGAGGTTTCTCCTGCACTCACTTTTGAAAGTGTTGTGACAATTTTAGGGAGGTGTGAATTCCTGGAAAAGGTAATAGCATGAGAAAACTCAAGAAGACATGAAAAAGAGTGGCACTGCAAGAGGTTTGGCACAGCTGGACTGCAAAGGAGAGGCAGGAAGTGAGTCTAGAGAAGCTGTTAGGGGATGGGTCATTGGAGAACTGTGTGTAGGCCCAAGGCCTTCCCTAACAGGACTGTACACGGGGACATGCAAGGGCTCCCTGAGGCCCTGCTCCAGGGCAGGCCTCATGCTGGGAGCTGCAGACACAACAGACAAATCAAATATGACTCCTGTCCTTGAGGAGTCCACAGTCTAGTGAAACAGACAGGCAAACTGACAGTTACCTATAGAATGAGCAGAACTATTGTGGAGGGAGGATGAGAGCTAGAGGAGAAAAGAGGAGGCCCCGGACCCAGTGTAGGGGATCAGGGAAGGTTCCTCTGAGTGTGTATTAGGAGAATGAGCCCCAGAGTCCCTTCAGGGTTAACAAGAGAAGCAGGATGAGGGACATAGTAAAGTATGTTTGTAAATATGTGGGGGTAGCGTTCAGGGAACTGAGCGTTTGCTTTAGATGACAGATTTAATGCTTGAGGTCTAAAGGTGTACAACACAGGATTGAGATACCCCCCTCCCCCACTCCCTTCATAGATCAATAAAGACACTCACCTATACACTCTAGTCATTCGTCCCAACGCTACTTATGAGGTCAAAATTGTTAACCAGCAAATGGCAGCCGTGGATCTGGAGGACGACTGGGACTTCTTGCCGCCCAAGAAGATAAAAGACCCCTATGCCCAGAAACCAAGGAAATGGGATGAGCATCTGCAAATAGAGGATCCTGAAGATGAGAAACCTGAGGTCAGAGGGCATTTGGCTGGGAAGCAGGTGGGGATCTTAGGTGGAGCAGAGACTGGGGCATGAATCCCTCAAGGAGATGCCCAGCTAAATACTGATATCCAAAAAGGTGTGGAGGGCAAACGGCAGCAACTCACATTTGATGAGGATCTACTATCTACTGGGAACTTAATTTGATACCTCTGGCAGCCCCTGTGAATAGTATGTTATGATCTCTCCTTTATGGATAAGGAAACTGATGCTTAGAAAATTAAGTGACTTGCCCAAGCATACATACGTTGGAACCAGGATTCTAACCTAGATCTCTTTGACACCAAAGTTATCGATATGGGGTAGATGTGGAGTCTATTCATTGATTCACTATCACTCACTGAGAAAACTGTGCTGGATATAGCTGTGAAGGACAATCTCTGCTCTCCAGGGGCTCAGAGTCTAGTGTAGGCAGACAAACAGACAGTGATCATACCATGTAACAAGTGCTGAAAGCAAGGAAAGCCAAAGCCTGTGGGAGTCCAAAAGAAGCTCCTAAGGCGGCCTGGGTGGGGTGTGGGCAGTGGCTTGTGAAGGAGGAGGCAATACCTGAGTGATTGGGTTAACCTAGGGATTAGGAACATAGACTCTAGGATCAGACATATATGGGTTTGAATCTGAGCTCTACCACTTACTAACTGTGAGACCCCAACCTATTAGCAGTTACACCCTGGACAAGGAATAGAACTGTTGCAAAAGTTAATTTCTCCATCTGTAAAACAGGGATTATTATAATATCTATGTGTGAAGGTTGTCGTAAAGATTAAATGAGTTAACATAAAACATGTAATACAGTGCCTGGTACGCAGTATGTCTTCAATATGCAACACTTATATATTAATAACATACTAAATTTCAAGTAATTAATTTATTAGAACGAGCAAAGTGGGAAACTGGGTTGGAGGGAAGGCATTCCAGACACAGAGAACAGCAGGAGCAAATGTACAATGGTTAAATGATAAATAACACGGTTGTTTAAAGAACTGAAAGTAGCAGTTCAGTATTTTGGGAGCATAAAGTTCAAGGGGGCAGGTGGTAGAAGGTGAGGTTGGAGAGGTCTGCCAGACCAGGTCATGGAGGGTCTCATCTGAGGTGCCACATTGCTACCCCACAGGTTACAGCAGGGGCAGCTCCATGTAATGCAAATGCTTGGAGTCAGGCAGGGGGCAGGAAGGGACCCAGCAGCTGGAGTCCAGTCCCTAAGGAGAGGCCTGCAGAGAGGCCTGCAGAGAGGCAGGCAGTGGCCCAGCCATGTTTAGGGAGATTCAGCAAAGGGCTCCAATCCTAGGGGAATGAGGTGTAGTCAGGGAATTAAGGTAGATAATCAGGTGGAATGTCTGGGCCTTCAGCTCCATGGAAAAGTAGGGGGCTAGGTTCCTGCCAGGCCCATCAGGTACACGCTCAAGGCGACAAGACTAATCATCGACCCCCCTCCTGGTGAAGACCACGAACCTGATATAGTTCTGGTTGGCTCAGGGCCTAGGGGAGAGAGGAGAGGCAGCAGGCTTCTATGCCCTCTGCTGAATGGACCTGGGAAGACAGAAACTGACTGCATGGATGGAGCTCTATGAAGCCTATAGCCCCAGGGATAGGATGCTGTCTGTCTGTCTCAGAAATCTCAAAGCAGTTTACCCAGGCCACAAACCAGGAAACTGCCCCAGCCTCAATGAGGCCGAATGACTGTGAGTCCGGTGGGCTGGGCATGGAAGCCTTCAGTCAGTCTGGGAAACTAGCACCAAGGTGAACTGCCAAGTAACAGAGCAAAGCCTGGGAAGCTCCACAGTAGAGGAAATAGGGAAGCTAGGGTAGGCTGTTTGTGACTTGGAGCTCTCTTTTGGGAGATAGGAGGGACCTGGGGTACAGGGGCCCTGGTGGTGCAGTGTTTAAGAGGTTGGCTGCTAAGTGAAATGTTGGCAGTTCAAACCTACTAGCCGCTCTGTGGGAGAAAGATGTGATAGTCTGCTTCTGTAAAGATTTATAGCCTTGGAAACCCTATGGGGCAGTTCTACTCTGTCCTATAGGGGGTCACTATGAGTCGGAATCAGGTTTGGTTTTCGTTTGGTTGGTGTACAAGGGAGGACTGTTACAGAACAGGGAGCATCCTGGGAAATGAGGCCTTCAGGAAAAGAAATCCAGGCTATTGTGACAATAAACCAAAAAACCAAACCTGTTGCCATCAAGTCAATTCCGACTCCTAGCAACCCCATACGACAGAGTAGAACAGCTCCACAGAGTTTCCAAGGAACTGCTGGTGGATTCGAACCGCCAACCTTTTGGTTAGCAGCCAAGCTTTTAACCACTGCACCACCAGGGCTCCATTATGACAATACAAGGGGTGCATAATTAATGAAGAGGCAGGGTCAGAGATAAGGGGAAATCCTTATCTTATTTGAGCTTAAAGTACTCAAGGTCAGAGTGATGGTAAGCTCAGAGTGAGGGATCAGAATTGCTTAAAGGTTTTTTCTCTCCTACACTGGGTTTGTGTGCAGAGTCCTGGACCGGGCCTTCATGCAGTGGAGATAGGAAGGTGGCAGGGGTGGGAAGCCAGTTTCAGCCTGACTGCACTCTGGACCCCAGTTTTCCCCCAAGCCCTATGCATCTGTACTCACCAAGGAACATTTAATTTTAGGATTGGGATGACTTTGAGTACATCCCAGACCCAGAGGCCAAGAAGCCGGATGACTGGAATGAGGCAATGGATGGGAAGTGGGAAGAGCCCCTGATTCCAAATCCCAAGTATAAGGGGAGGAGTCTCTCTTTCCAATAGGTAGGGGAAATAAGAAAGAAGGGATGGAAATTTCTAATTCACAAAACAGAAACTCTGAGATCCTGTGGTCATCTCCCCACCCCACCCACTGCCCCTCATAAAACGATAGCCTCCTCTGGGCCTTGTTCTCAGAGATATGCCTACCTGGGAATGGGTGAACTGGTAAAGGCCAAGGCTGGAAGGTAGAGGTTCAAGCAGCCCAGGAAAAAGGCTTGTCTTGAGTAGAGGAAAGCAGCCAGTAAAAGGAACATGGTCAAAACAGGAAATGGGTCGGGGGTCAGGAAGAATAAGTCTCAGAAGTGGTCCAGAGGGGGAAGGAGTAGGACATGAGTGAGCCAAAAGTGTTTAGGGAGGACTTCCTTTTAAAGGCTAACTCCTGGCCTAGTATTAGACACAAGAGGGAAATGAAGAAATAAGCTGTCAAATGGTCCAGAGAGAAAACTGGCTGAAGCAAGCTTGGTTTTATTTGGCCACAGTCTCCTGTGCTGCACACCAGGAAGAGAACAACTGCAAGTTCCATGGGCCTCAGATGATATTCCCTAGGAAGCTACATTTTCTTTTTTTTTATTGTTGTAGTTTAGATGAAGTTTACATTTCAAGTTAGTCTCCCATACAAAAATTTATATATACATTGTTATGTGACCCTAATTGCTCT